GCCGATAAGGAGAACGCCACGCTCAGGATTCTTCTGACAGCAGTTTTATTGTTACAGCTCTTTTAGATGGTAGTGTTACAGCTCTCTTAGATGGTAGTGAGGCGAGGGACGCCAAGCCCCAAAAGCCAGTGGCTTATATAGAGCTTTAGGAGACGTGCCACACACTCATTGGCTCTTATGATATCGCCAAATTAGCATACTGGTTTTCGCGCCTTGTGCAGGCGCACATTCAAGCAAGGCTCGCAAAAAGAACCAGGAAGCAGGAAACCCGCGCCATGTTGCAATGGCGGACGCGGCTCCTAACACACACACACATATATATATACATATACATATACATATATATATATGGGGTTGGTTTGGGTTTAGTACCTAATCATCAGAACAGGAGACAGACAGGCATGGTGCTATGAAGTATCTAAGAGCTTTACATCATGATCTACAGGCAGCAGACAGAGGAACACTGGACTTGCATGGCATTTTGAAGCCTTAAAGCCGGCTCCCAGTGACACATCTCCTAATCCCAAACAGTGCCCCTCTATGGTGACTAAGCATTTACATATATGAGCCTATGCTGGCCATTCTTACTCAGATCACAGTTGATTTGATTTAGTCCTTTTGAAACAAACTGTGAAAGATTTGTCATGAATGCTGAGACGTTAAAAATTAGTGTTTGTCTCAGCCTGCCTGAAGCAGCCTTGCTGGAAAGGGTTTAGGTGGTCTGGAGGGAAGCAGCCCTGAGTTGGCACATTTTGTATAGTAAGTTCTATCAGTGCTGCTTAGTGGCCACTGACTTGGAACCAAAAGTCACCTTTATAAACCTTGATTTTCATTTGAAGGACTGGAACTGCTGTCACCCAAGTAGGATAAGGGAACTGCAAGTCAATACCTTGCTTTGTTTTTTTTGTTTGTTTGTTTTATTTTTTATTTTTTTGGTCAGGTAAGTTTGCTTAATTATAAGGAAGCCAAGAGGGAGGACTCCATCTTAGAATCAGTCTGAAATTCGTTTTGGCTTCTCAAGTATAATCCAGTCAAAGCTTATAGCTGAGAAAGTGTTTACCAACTCCAGACCAGTTGCCAGGCAGTATTTGTTACATCACATTTTTTATGGTCTCCCAAGAAACTGTCTTACAGATAACAAAATTGGAATAAGTAACCAATAGTCGTATCTGGGAAATAAATGTCAATGTGGTTTTCTGTGTTGTCTCCAGAACGGATTCTGGACCATGCTGCCTTGTATTCCTACCCTGCACCAGCATTGATAAACTCATCTGATTACAGGTGCTCGTCACTGAGCCTTGTTCTCCTTATGGGCGTGGCTCCCTTACTACAGCTCCTGGAACCTGGTTCAGTTCATGACCTAAGAAGTTGGTGACTATTTTTAATTTTGCTGTATCCACAGAAATGAGAAACATTGCCTTTTAGAGAATCTGAAATTCAATCACATTTTTTTTTTCTTTCTCTTTACTTGTTGAGATACTTACAGTGGTGCTTGTTAACGCCTTGGTCATGCTAGACTCTTGACAGTGAACTGCATCCCTGGTCCTAGCACGGTTAAATCTCTGCTTGCTGTGTTATAGGAAGGGACGACAGTAGACTGGATCTGTGTGTGTGTGTGTGTGTGTGCGCATGTGCGTGTGTGTACTGGTATGCCTAACAGGATAAAGGAATGAATAATTTTTCTCCCTTTTTTAAACAGTATTTTTTAATTTTAGATGAATAAGAGTTGCTTGCAAGAGCAGAGTGTCAGATTCCCAAGAACTGGAGTTCTTGAGCAGTTGTGAGTAACCTTACGGTTGCTGAAAACTGAACCTGGGATCTACAAGACTAACTGTAGCTTCTAACCGGAACCTCTCGCCAGCTCCCAGAATTTGTGGCTTTTGAGGTTTTGGGTTTTCTTTTTGTTTTGTTTTGTTTTGTTTTAGAAAAGGTCATACTCTGTACCCCAGGCTGTCCTTAAAACTCACAGAGATCCTCCTGCCTCTGCCTCCTAAGTGCTGGGATAAAAGGTGTGTGCTACCACACCTGGCCTCTTTTAGAGGGTATTACTTTGAAACTGAAAAAAGTTACAGTTTTAATGCTTCTTTGGGTGTTTATTTGGGGTTCAGTCTCAAGAAGAGACAGGAAAGCCATAGGGCAAAGTTTACTAGAACCAGTGCAGGCATTGTCCACTGAGGAGAGGTTGAATGAAAGAGAGTACCCCAGGTCTTACCAAGCTTGTAGGAACTGAGAGCTGGCACCAGAGCATGTGTGAAGTCGGCAAAATGGTGTGTGAATTCCTACCTCTTACCTATGCATTTCAACTTTCCTAGGTCATGGAAGAGAGTAGGAAAGGACCGCACTGGTGTACCTAGCTAGTGGAAAGTTTTAAATGTACAATACAAAATACAAAGATAAACACTGCAAAATCTTAACTATTACTCTTAGGCAGACCTTTTGATTTTTTATTTTGTATTTACTCTGGCCAGTAGCTTGCTATTTTACACCAGTGAGTGGAGAAGAATATGGTGTTGACTAAATACCAAAGACAAGGGTGGAGTTGGCTCAGTGTCAGATCTCCTTGTAGCTAGAATTAGAGGCAGTTGTGAGTTGCCTAATATGGATGCTGGGAGTCAGATGTAAATAGAACTTAGGTTTTTCTGCAAGAGCAGCCAGCTCACCAGTCCCCCATTTTTTTGATGGTGTCTCTCACTGAGCCTAGAGCTCACTGTTTGGACTGGCTAGCCAGTGGGCACCAATATTTGCCCTAAGACAGGCAGGTCTTAGGCTTTCACAGCAGGTACTTTACCCAGTGAGCCCAGCTAGGCTTTGGGGTGTCTTCATCAGCCACTCTAGGATTCTTTGGTCCAGAAGTAAATCTCAAAAGTTTAAATAGGAAAACAGTTGTATTTCGATTGAACACTTTTGAGAACACATTGCTTTATGCTATCTGTAGTCTTTATTAATAGACTCAAGAGAGAGAGAGAGAGCACACTTAAACTAGCATCCTAATGATGTAAGCTCTGTATATTTCTAGATCTATTAGATAGGAAACGTGAAATAAATATCCAGAATAGGTAATGAGAAAGGACTATTCAGAGTGGAAATATATTTCCTTTCAATGTGCAAATAATGAAATCTAATATTTTTAAATACAATTTGTTTCTAATGATATTAGATCTATATTGTACAATTCAAATCTCAGAAAATACAAATTACACCAGATAGTATGACCTGCCATTCTTGTCTCTCTTGAGGAGAAGGCAGATGTGGCTGTGCTGGAGTTTGTCTAACTTTCTGTGAAGTCTTATCTGGAATAAAATAAAGTAGAACATAGGTGTTTCCCCACTAGATATAAGAGATACCCATTTTTGACAAAGTTGTTCTTACGATAATCTATGCCTTCCCTGCATCTGTTTTCTGTTAAGTGCTCATAGCTGTGTCCTCAAAACTGTAAACTAACTCACTAGAAGGATCCCCTCACAGAGAAAAGTAGCATGGATGATGTAAGGTATCATTTCTTGAGGTTGATGGCAGTGGTTGCTCTGGGAATTAGCCTTAGACTGATTCATTATAGTAATCCTAGCGATTAATCTTGGCAGAACAATGACAGTATTGTGTTCTGGAAATTTTCACTGAGCAGAAGGAAAGTGCTTTTGAAGAGATAATAGTTCATTAAGACTAAAGATACTCAGGAACAAGTCTGAATTGGTTTTTGACTCTCAGGTGAGTCTGCAGCCTATGCACCAGTGACCTGATACTGGCTTTCTAGAGAGCCCAGGCAGTTCACAGGGCTCAGCCAGGTTGCTGAGTGTGTGGAGTGGATAGCATTCTACCCACTCTGGTTTACTCCTTAAAAATAACTCACTATATACCGTGGCTTGGACATTACATGTAATTTCAATCTGAATCAACCTGCTAATGACTAGAAGCCCATAAAAACCACAGTAAACAACTTAATTAAAGTGTCCCTTGTGGGACGTCAGCCACAGTGGACTGGATGACAGAACACTTGGGAAACTACCCCTAAATTAAAGGGTGGACAAGAAAGAACAGGAAGTGAGCGAGTGACAATCCATTATGATTTCGCCAGCTTGCCCAACTGCCACTAAATAGCCTTCCCTCCAAACCTTAGGCTCCTCGTCCTCTGCCAATAGCTTTTGTTTAGTATTCAAATGGCACCGTGGAAGCTAGACCGAAAGGAGGACCATGGGATGTTCCTTAACTTTCTGTAGAATCTTCCATGTCTGCCCTTCTGGGTTAGAGTGTGTAATGAGTTAGAATATGACTGTGTTTGGAAGTGCCTTCTTGCTTATTCACTTAGAAGTTTCTGGAGGTTTCAGCAAGATTGCTGCCCAGGCAGGCAGTGCTGTCCTCATTGCTCTTTGCAGAACAAAGTATCACTGCCACAGTTTGTGAAACAGGCTTGTAGATTCCTTTTCCCATTTCTACAAACGATGGATTTTGCATCCTGCTATCTTCCCCATGAAAATTTAATAATGGAACTAAGTGTATCCATGATTGCATATGAATGAAAGGTAACATTGCATTTAGTTTCCAGATACGGAAAAGTAAACACAGGTTTCTCTAATTTCAGTATACAGAAAAGCAAACATATGTTTCTCTAATTTCAGTAAAACAGACAGTTCTCTAATCTTGTTCTATGTTGTACTTGAGGAGAAAACTTTCTAGGTCTAGTGCTGTTCTCCACAACAGAAAACACCCAAAACTATCAAGGAAAAATCCCAAACTGTAGCCACTTTATATCCTATTCTTTATCCCTTTACAGCAAAGTAACAAGTATAAAATACCTTCCAAAGAAATACATCATGCTTCTGTGACTCAGACATAAATTTGGTTTCTCAGTAATTCAGACTCAGGAGTTTGTGAAAGTATCCACGTACTATCAACAGCTTGCAAATCCAGCATAAGTACAACAGTCTGCTCAGATGCTCCAACCCTCTGACCAGAGTGGCTGGCAGATGTTCTATCTTGAACACATGCTTCTGTGTATGGTTGCAGTGGGAACTTCTCTTCAGAAAGGCAAATGTTGCACAGTTGTTGCCTCAAGACCCCTGAACCTGTGACATCAGTCACCATGATATCAGTCAGGCATTCAGAAGCTCATCATCTGAGTGTCCAATGGCATCTGGGTTTGAGAGCGGACCCAAGTCTGCAAATAGATTGAGCCAGGCTGACATGTCTTGGTTACCATTGTTGGGGGCTATTAAGAAAAAGACATTAAAGAGTTTCAGTTTTGGGAGATAATATTTTATACTATTATGATTTTTAAAGCAGATACTTTTTAATAAAAATACAATTGGCTGACAGTGATTCATTATATCCCCCTGAAGGATAATTTTAAAAAGCAGGCCGGGTGGTGGTGGCACACGCCTTTAATCCCAGCACTTGGGAGGCAGAGACGGGTGGATTTCTGAGTTCGAGGCCAGCCTGGTCTACAGAGTGAGTTCCAGGGCAGCCAGGGCTACATAGAGAAACCCTGTCTCAAAAAACCACACAAAAAAAAAAAAAAAAAAAAAAAAGCAGATTTAATTCCTCCAAGAAAGCTTAAGTGCTGCTTAAAATCTCTATTATAAAAGTAGTACTTCAAAAATATTGGCCATAAAGGGGAGTGACCCTTCCTAACCCTATCATTACACACATTTGACAGTTGTCTCTTTAATTTTTGTCTGTTGAGGCAAGGTCTCGCTGTGTAGCTCAGGCTGGCTTCAGGTTTTTGATCCTTCTGCCTCACTCCTAAATTTTGTATTAGGTATGCACCATCATGTCCATTGCTTGTCAAAACATTTCCTAACAAGGGCTGTGGAGATGGCTCAGCAGGTAAGTGCAGGTTTGCTCTCCAGGGCACACAAAGGTAATTTAAAACAAGAAAGGTCAAGACATTTCTAGACTTCCAGTGGAGGAAGGGGGACATCAACCCACCCATAAAACTTCCACCCAAAATTTGTCCTGGGGGACTTCTTCTCTAAGGAGGAGGGGGTATATTGGGGGAGGGTGGAGTTTGTAAGAGTGGGACAGGGAGGGGACTTTGATCGGATGTAAAGTGAATAAACAATGAAACACAAAACATTCTGATAAGATCATTGTCAGACCCAAGTTCTTTTTTTATATGCACTATCACTCTGCTCATAAAGCAGTAGTATCCTACTTCTAAAAAGGAAATTGGCTTTGTTTATGCATGTCTGTGCATCACATGTGTGCCTAGTACCTGTGGAGGCCAGAAGAGGGCGTCAGATCCCCTGGAGCTGCAATTAAAGACAGTTGTGAGCTGCCCTTTGACTTCTAGAAGCTCTGTCTTCTGGAAGAGCAGCCAGTGTTCCTAACCACTGAGCCACCCCTCAGTTATCTTAGGGTTACTGTTGCTGCAATGAGATACCATGACCAAAAGCAACTTGGGGAGGAGTTTATTTGGCGTACACTTCCACATTGTAGTCTATCACTGAAGGAAGTCAGGACAGGAACCCAAACAGCAGGAACCTGGCAGCAAGAACTAATGCAGAGGCAGGCCATGGAGGGGTGCTGCTTACTGGCTTGCTCAGCTTGCTTTCTTATAGAACCCACAACCACCAGCCCAGGGATGGCTCCTGTCATAATGGACTGGGCCCTCCCCTGTTGGTCACTAATAAAGTGCCCTATAAGGCTGCCTATAGATCAGTCTTATGGAGGCATTTTCTCAAGTGAGGTTTCCTTCTCTCTAATAACTCTAGCATCTGTCAAGTTGACATAAGTCTAGCCAGCACATCCCTGAAGATCAAGAAGTTTAGAAACCAGGGCAGAGGCCTGAGAACAATCCAGGAACTAAGTATGAGCTGGGTCACAGCATGCAGAGAAACAAATGCAGTCCAACTCGGCAGAGTCAAGGAAGCCTCTTTTTGCCCAAATCATGGTTAATACCGGCTCCACCAAAGGAGCCACAGCTGCACAGCAGTATCTGAGGCCCCATGCATCAGGGTGCAGGCAGGGACTTCACAGAGTTTGGATCCAGCTCTAGTTCTGGGAACTGAGGTCATGTCAGCTATACCCATGTAAGGATAGCTGTGTGTCCTAGGTGTTCTACCTCCAGTGACCAATGTTGGGCAAGTCGCCTGCCTTCAGGGGCTCTTGTTTCCTATCTGTGTAACAGTCATATAATTTACCACTTAAGTATAACATGTGAGAGTAAACAGGTTGTTGGTAATCATGCCAAGGCTGGTGATGGTAAAGTGACATCATTCTGTTCATCCTTCATCCCCACACCCAGGAAACCAAGCTGTTAGCAGCAGTATTATTGTGAGTCTTTTGCATTTATTTTGGCTACTATCTAGATGAATTTGTCAGCTATCTAATTAGGAATAGAACTGCTTACTGATAAGTACATGAATGTTCAGTTAAAGCAGAAACTGCAAAAACAATTTTCTAATAGTAATTTTCTACAAGCAGTAAGGCTGTCCTGCCATAACCTTGTGAACATGGGGTTTCCTTCTCACTTTAGCCACAGTTCTTCATTCTGATGTTTTTAATATATTTTGTTGGGGCTGAGTTGTTGGTGGTTTTGTTCTGTAGCGAGAACAAAATGTATGTATGTAGCCCAGGCTGGCCCTGGCTCATCCTGTTCGAATATTTGAATCCTGGTGACTGGGGATTAAAAGAATGTGCCATTGTGTCTGGCTTTTCTGTGAGTTCTGTATTATTTTAATGGTGTTACGGGTTGAACCCACACCTTGTGCATACTAGGTAAGTGTTCTACTTCTGAGCTAACATCCTGAGCTAACATCCTGGTCCTGTTTCAGTTTGTATGTGATGATTAATAAAGTGGCACACTTAATGATTTAATTTCTTTTTTTTTTTTGGAGGGGGGGGTTTTTTCGAGACAGGGTTTCTCTGTGTAGCCCTGGCTGTCCTGGAACTCACTCTGTAGACCAGGCTGGCCTCGAACTCAGAAATCTGCCTGCCTCCCAAGTGCTGGAATTAAAGGTGTGCACCACCACTGCCCAGTAATGATTTAATTTCTGAGTTATCAAATTTTCTAGAATTACTTTATGGTCAGAGCTAACAGCTGCCATTTTCCTTCTCTGCCTTCCCTGACAAAGCAAATCAGCCTCAGACTATAGGTACACATCAGTCTTTCTCAGGACCTCTGCTTGTTTCTTGTTTTGTTGGAGAGTGAAACTCACCATATGGACCACACTGGTCTTGAATTCACAAAGCTCCACCTGCCTCTCTATCCCACATCCTGGATTAAAGGCCTGTACCACCATGCCCGGCAGGACCTTTGATTTCTGTGTCCTGTGAACCATAACTATCTTCCAGAAGTCCACATGCTATGTGTGGTCCTCAGGAATCCCACACTGGGAGATGGTAGAACCTTTAAGAGCTGGCTGAGCTGGGCTCAAGGCCAGCACTGCACACACGACCTATGGCTGAGGCTCCCATGGAAGGAAATTATATCTATTACTGGGGGACACTGGGACGCCAGCCTTTGCTTCCTTTTTGGTTCTTGGCTTCTAGGAGCCAAACATGTCCCTGCCATGATATACTATGGGGCCACATGTGCAGAAACAGTGACCAACTAACCATGGACCAAGACTCTAAAACCATGAGCCAAAATGCAATAGAATGCTAACTAGCAAATGTACAGGGAGAAGGAAAAAGGAGATCCCCATTCAGGCTGACGGTGTAGCTAGCAGGGTATCCAGCATGTGGAGGCCCTAAGTTCCACCCCCAGGACCACAGAAGAAAGGAGGAAGACAGGAAAGAAGGAAGGGGGAATAAGAGAAAAATCACAATTCAGTAACAACTATAATAATAAATAGAAATAGAAATTATGTAAGAACTACTAATGACCAAGATGTGACTTCATCTATAATCCTAGCTCTCAGGAAGTTGAGGCTGGAAAAGCAAGATTTCAGGGCCAGCAGAGCCACACATTGAGATCCCTGTCTGGCATTTAAAGTATTTCAATTTAGAACACACACAGTACAGAACAGGGTATGGTTTGCAGGAATTATGCTTACCAAATGTGACAATATTTTGCAAAATATACTCAAAGAACACATGGGATAGTTTATTTTTAGTTTTTCTATAATGTGAATTCATTGAAAACTTAAAGTATTAGTATCATAAAAATTTGGAAGTCTGCCCAAGCAAACACTCAAGAATTTGAGCACAAAATGATTAAGTATATTGATGACTATAAACCACAGAAAAAATATGAATTTAAATGGATAGTAGTTAGATGACTAATGGGGAAGAAACAAGTCTACTTAGACTGGTGCAAACCAAACATGCTTCCCTCTCTTCAGGAGGACTATCTATCCTTACAAGGCAAATGCTGACACTCCAGCAGGATAAATGGCCTCTGAGGTCATTATGCAAAATTAAGTGCCCCATCACCAAAAACCAGAGATATATCACGGAGCATGATCATCTGAAGCAATGACCTGTACAGGGGAAGCTGGATGTTAGCTGGCCAGTGTCTGTGTACACCTGTAATGCCACAGGAATTTAAGGTTACTTCCTAGGTCTCTGGCATTCTTGCCAACAGGCATCATGCAGCTTGAGCATCTTCTGAGCGGGGGTAGTTCAGTGATGGAACACATCTACCACAAATGAGGTCTGGCTTTCTTCCTTACACTACGAGACACAGCGGTCCTTTCCTAAGTTCTCCTGAAGCTCACTGATTATTGATGTGATGGGGAAAAGTGACTTACATTTTAATTTCTTTGAGTACTGTGAAGGTACTGGCAAGGTATCTGAGTGTTCTGATCCCTCTTGGGAAGCCCAGCCTTGGGGAGGGGAGGAAAGATAGAGAAACAAGAAAGAGTAAAAAGCTGGATTCTCCTGTGTGTGAGAATAAGCACTTGACTGATCAAGCTATCCCCAATAGCTTGGTCTGTACCTTAAATTGGAGAGTGAAGACCATTTACATTTAAGGATACTAAGAAGAAAACTTTTTTCTGGGTTGTCAGATTACTGGTTTTCCTTCCTTACCCTATTTGTTTTAAAGGTTTACTGGTTTAGTGTGCTAGGAATGACAGACTAATATTGTCCATTCTTACTTTTAGGATAGTCAACAAATCCTTAATGGTTATTTAATGACTTCACATGTGCCTTTAGTACAATATGAACAAAAGGGTTTTACTATAACACACAACACATTGACTGAAGCTGGGGGCCATGAGAGTTCAGAAACAGTATCTGGGGATGAGATACAGAGATGTAAGTAAGCCAGGCGATGGTGGCCCGCGCCTTTAGTCCCAGCACTTGGGAGGCAGAGGCAGGCGGATTTCTGAGTTCGAGGCCAGCCTGGTCTACAGAGTGAGTTCCAGGACAGCCAAGACTACACAGAGAAACCCTGTCTCAGAAAAAAGAGGAGGGGGGGGTGTTAGTAAAGCTACACAACGACTGTAGATAGGAAAACAGGAAACAAAGCACTAGAGTCCTGGAGGCCACAGACGGCACAACCAAGTGCAATAGAAAACGGTCATGGGTTGGATTAGGAGTCCATAACTCAGACTCATGTGAGCTCATGAAAACTGCTGAAGAAGCGATGGTGGCTGGGAGTGGCGGTGCACACCTTTAATCCCAGTACCTGGAGGAGAGGCAGGAGGAGCTCTCTGAGTTCCAGGACAGTCAGGGATACACAGAGAAACCCGTCTTAACCCTGCCCCCCAAAAGTGGAATCTGTTAGAAAAATAAGTAGAGAAGTGTGGAGGAGTGAGGACGAAGCCTTCTGGATTCTTGCAGCACACAGGGAACCGAATGAAGTTCTAAGTGGAGTGGAGTGGGAAGCAGATGGGTTCCATTTGATAACCAGCAAAGATACAGGAGCAAAACGATGCCCAGTGTGCAGCCCTGGACATGGGATAGTGCGGTTGCTGATAACCCTTTCTCTGGGATAACCCTCTGGCCCTTCCACACACCTCCCCCCATACCACCTGTTTGTTCCAGTGTCTTCCACTCCTGCCTTCTTTTCTCTCTCTTTCTTGCTAATTCTGAACCTGCAGGAAAAAAGTACAACAAATTTCCTTGGGGCAGTGGTGGCATCACCTGACCCAGTAGTGGTTCAGTGGATCAAATGTAAGCCAGACCCTGGGACAGTCAGTGGGGACACATGGGTTTGGTGAGGTACCGAGGAGACACCCCTGTTTCAGACATGCTGACAACTCTAATGAGATCAACTCAATATTGTTCCAGTTGATTGTTGTGACTGCAGATCCTAGCTAGTCACTAGCATTGACATTAAAGTCCACTTCTCTAGATTCTAGTGTTAACAGCCAGAATACTTTTGCTTAGCAGACACAAAGCACACATCCAAATGTCTCAGCACTTACTGTTGAAAGCTCCATCAACATGAAGGCCAAGGTCGAAGAGCTGTGAAGGAAGGAACTGGGAAGAGGAAGTGAGAGGCCCAGGTCCTGCTGAAGGCTCCTGGGATGTGAGGCCAATGCTGGGGCTCCCACAGGCAGGCTGGTGTTCCTGTGTAAATTCACCAGCACTTGAAGACGTGGGGCTTAGGAGGCTGTTCAGAAATGAGAATTCCTTCTCAAAGTCATCTTCTAGTGAGTCTCTAGGCAGAGCTCTTGCAACTGCTGGTTGAGAACAGAAACAGCAAGGGTTTTATTTCCTTTTGAGGAAATCAGAGCAGGACATAGGAAAACTACCTTTTCCTTTATGGCATTAAAATAATTTTAAAACAACTATATTGATTTGAAGTCTATAATTATTTCTAACAAGACAGGATTTAGGTCAAAATGGCCATATAGCATCTAAACAAATAGTTATGAATGCAAAATGTTAATAAACTACTGCCTATGCAAGACAAAGCCTCAGGGAGCTAGGAGAAAGACGCCAGCCAGTGAAGTAAGGAGCAGACAAGGACAGGGAGATGCCTGCGCAAGCAGCAAGGTGATGTGCTAACATTGGCACCATCTTCCCATGTGTGCAGGACATTATAGAAACTGATACTCATGCACATAAAAATGCAGGGAGATAGAGGGCGGTGGTGGTGCACGCCTTTAATCCCAGCACTTGGGAGGCAGAGGCAGGCGGATTTCTGAGTTCGAGGCCAGCCTGGTCTACAGAGTGAGTTCCAGGACACCCAGGGCTACACAGAGAAACCCTGTCTCGAAAAAAAAAAAATGCAGGGAGTTCATGAACCAATGTGTTCTGATTATAGTGTAAAAAAAATAAATTTAAAAGAAAGCAAAAGCCAGGCAGTGGTGGCCATGCCTTTAATCCCATCACTCAGGAGACAAAGACAGGTGAATCTCTGAGATTGAGGCCAGCTTGGTCTATAGAGTGAGTTCCAGGACAGCCAGGGCTAGACAGAGAAAATCTCTCTCTTTCTCTCTCTCTCTCTCTCTCTCTCTCTCTCTCTCTCTCTCTCTCTCTCTCTCTCTGTCTCTCCTCTTTCTCTCTCTCTCTGTCTCTCTCTCTCTAAAAAAGCTTCTTTTACTAATAAACTTAGTTGGAAGGAGAATAGACTTCCTGAAACATTCTAATAAAAATATTTCATAATCCATAGGATACTTTTTTTCACTCATTTACATCACTTTATTTGCAAATGCTTGTAACAGTACATTGAAACTAAATTTCAGAGACAATGGCTGTCAGTTTAGGCATCATCCGTTTCTTATAAAAGGGAGGCATGAAAATTATTTACATGATGAAATAGTTCAGAACTTCAGTGGAATGGGCAGCTTCATGTGACACCATTTCAACAGTGATTTCAGTCGACATACTTTCCAAGAATGTCACCATCTCTAAATAAGAAATAATTCTTGTCGTCTAGAACTACTTTGGTGCCTCCATGTTCTGGGAGAAGAACTTTATCTCCAACTTTCACACTGACAGGCTGAATCTCTCCACCCTTCCCTTTCCCGCCTGATCCCACAGCCACGACCGTTGCCTGCAATACTTTTCCTTGAGACTTTTCTGGAAGCATAATGCCACCTTTGGTTACAGTTTCAGCGGCACTCCTTTCAACCAATACTCTGTCAAAAAGCGGAAGAAACTTCCTAAAAGCTTGTCCAGCCATGACTTGCGCCACCACAGCTCCAGACTCTGTACTATACTCCATTCTATAGAATTGAGGACAGAGATGGGAGAGTTAATGTGTTTTCAAAGCTGCTGCAAGGAGAGTCAATCCATAGGATACTTAAATGCCAACAATGAAGTGGTGGTGGCCCAAACACACTACAGTTAAGGCCTGGATAACTGCTGCCTGTCTAGCCAGCCATTTTATGCTGCCACAGGGATACTTTCTCATATGCTGTTATTACTGCTACTAGGAACTTCTTCATGCCTGAGCTAATCATTAACCCAAATTCTGTTATGTTCTATGCTTTGGTGTTCTTAGGAACCAATCACAACAGAAGTCAGTTAGAACTGCTTTGTATAGCCACTATAATAAGCTTGGACCTGAGACCTCCTTGGAAATTGACATCGTACTTGGCAGAAAGAGACCATGTATGTGAGTAGAGACCATGTATGTGGGTCACTGACATCCTAGTTGGCAAGTTGGGACGTGAATACTAGGCAAGGAAAGTCAACCTGCCACAGTTGAATAACTGGACCAATGGGAACAGGTTAAATGTATAACAAGGCCATGTTCCTAAGGAAGTTCTCTTTCCTGAATCCTTTTTTTTGTTTTGTTTTGGTTTGGTTTGGTTTTCGAGACAGGGTTTCTCTGTGTAGCTCTGGCTGTCCTGGAACTCACTCTGTAGACCAGGCTGGCCTCAAACTCAGAAATCTGCCTGTCTCTGCCTCCCAAGTGCTGGGATTAAAGGCGTGCGCCACCACCTCCCAGCTCTTTCCTGAATCCTGATTGGTGGGAGAGCTTGGCACAGATGTTCGTAGATCTCAGGCTTAAAAGCTCTGTAGGATTCTGGGTTGGGATTACAGCCTAGCTTCCAAATCTAGACTACATCCTTGATCAATCAGTCTTGGGGTGTGCATTTGATAAACCAGCCCTGTTTGAGATCAGTGTCTTGAGTGATTGTGTGGCGATTCCCAGACTTCAACTACTTTAACTAGTTTATCAAAAGTAACAGAATCTTCACAGGATCTGACCTCCAGTGTAGCTAGTAAAAGCCCCAAGACTATTCAAGATATGAAAACAAACAAACAAAAAAACAAACAAAAAAACATTTACTTAAAAGCTCCAGAATTCAGAAAGAACTGAGGTACATACTAAGAACAGCCCTCTCCTTCATAACCATTCTAGCCTGGAACACCCAGTCTCATTTGGGGCGGGGGAGGGGGCTACCATCCCAGGAGTCAGGAGGCTATCATCACACAGTCTGTCCCTGTACCTAAGGCTACATTCCGTGACTATAGTCAAGCAGAAGTTCCCATTGTCCAGCCAGACCCTGCTCATTGGGTAAACACTGAGCCCACCCAGTTGAGGTGGGCTAGGACAGAAAAGGAATTCTGGAGACATGAGGACGGAGAGCTGCTCATCTTGGCATTTGGTTGGAGCTCCACACCAGCAAGAAGCAGAAAACCTCAGTGCAGCACTAGTGGCTTCAGGCTTTACAGAGTATAACCCTATCCAGGGCACAGCTGCCCTATAATCTCGCTTGTTCAAAACAGGTTTCTTTCTTTCCTTCTTATTTTTTTTGTTTTTGTTGTTTTGGTTTTTGCTTTTTGAGACAAGATTTCTCTGCATAGCTCTGGCTATCCTAGAACTTGCTCTGTAGACCGAACTCACAGAGATCTGCCTGCCTCCCAAGTGCTGGGATTAAAGTGGCTTGCACCACTTTGCCAGCTTGCTAGCTTTTTTTTTTTTTAACCGAGTGTTTACTGGTGTGTGTGTGTGTGTTTGTGTGTTACTCATGAAGATCTTAGGACAATTTCAGGGAGTAGACTCCCTGCTTACACCATGTGGTTCTTAGGAAATGAATCAGGTCCAGCAGACTGGATGGCAAGGGCCCCCACCAGCTGAGCCAGCCATTCCACTAATTCTCAAATCCACCTTTTTACATGGGTGTTGAAGTACTCATGCTTGCACATTATAGTGACTGAGCCACCCAAATCCCTGTCTTATTTTTTAATTATTTTACGTGTATAAGTATTTTGCCTACATGTATGCACATGTACTATGAGCATGATTAGTGTCCATGGAGATTTGAAGACGGAATCAGATTCCCTGAAACTGGGAATCACCATGTGGTTGCTGGGAATGAAACCTGAGTCCTCTGGAAGAGCAGCCAATGCTCTTAAACACTGAGCCATCTCTTCAGCTCCTGTCTTAATATTCTAAATAAGACTCCAATTCTGCTTCGTACTGGCTAGTTCTAGAATTCTTTTCTGAAGCCATAAATCAGGGGTTTTCCTAAATTGAGACTCCTAAAATGTTTAGGGGTCTGTCTCCTCAGACTGCTGAAGGTGACCGTAGAGCTGTGCTTCTGTCCTCTCATCACTGACCTGGTCCTTGGCCCTGTAGATAAAGTGGTAGTTTCAAGCCAAGGCTCAGTTTCTAAGGCAAGGGTGCCACTGATGCCACTGTCCCTGCTCCCCTCCTGGCCCCCTACCTTGCTACTCCAGCTCTGTCTGTAACACAAGTTTCCTTAAGAGGGGACCAGCAGACCACAGAAGAAAGAATTCCTAACCTTTCCAGAGGAACTAACACCATCCTCAGACAAGCGCAGAGAACTGAAGCCTGAAAGTTTCTCAGAGATGAAGGCTGTGGTATGAATGGCAGGAAAAGCCAATTTTGCTGGATGTATAGGCTTCATCATGGCCAGCTACTTTTGGCCTGAGAGAACGGGGTGGGTGTGGGGGCTGGTTGGGATCAGAACAACTTACTGACTTTGGAGAGTATTCCTCCAACAGAGCCCAATTTGTACTATAGCATCAGTTCCAGGTGCTGCGGAAGCCGCGGGTTACCGTGCAGACATGGCCAAGTCCTAGAACCACAACACACAACCAGTCCCGCAAATGGCACAGAAATGGCATCAAGAAACCCGATCACAAAGAAACGAGTCTCTTAAGGGGGTTGACCCCAAGTTCCTGAGGAACATGCGCTTTGCCAAGAAGCACAACAAGGAAGGCCTAAAGAAATGCAGGCCAACAATGCAAAGGCAGTGAGTGCACTCGCAGAGGCCATCAAGGCCCTTGTGAAGCCTCAGGCCATCAAGCCCAAGATGTCAAAGGGCCCCAGCCGCAAACTCAGCTACCTGGCTTTCATCGCTCACCCCAAGCTTGGGAAGCAGATTTGAAGCTACATGGCCCAGGGTCGTAGGCTCTGCCAGCCAAAGCCCAAGGTTCAAACCAAGGCAGAGGCCAAAGCTCCAGCTAAGGCCCAGGCTTCAGCCCCAGCCTAGGCTCCCAAAGGTGCCCAGGCCCCTATGAAGGCCCCATAGAAAAGGCTCTTGCCAACATGAAGACAGATGGACTGCCGTGACACACCTACCCACACACTATTTGTAGATAACCAGTGTCCTAGGCTGTTTTTACAAATAAACTCAAGATCTGTTTAAAAAAAAAAATTGTACTATAGCATTACTGAAATCAGCTGGAAATGAGTGAAGCTGACCAGCTGGCTGTGGTCAGAGAAAGATTTCAAAGCTCTGACAAAGCTGCCAGCACAGGGTGTCTGAACCTGTAAGGCATCCTACCCTGAGGTGAGGAAAGGGGATGATGAAGAACAGCCCCATTAAAATAATTCCCATCTAAAAATCAAGCAAATAATAAGTGGGGTCAGCATCCAAAGTTACTAAGACACATTTACAATATCCAGTGTTCAGCAAATGCTGTGGGGCAAGACTGTTGTACTGGCAAGAAGTCACGAAGCTAGAAGCCCTGTGTGAAACTGACTAACTGTCACATTTACTACTAAGACTCTCAGTTACTCAGTAATTGGAGAACTAAAGAAATCAGGATAAGAGAACTAGGAGACCAAGAGCAAGTCGGTAACCATGAGCACCTGAAGATGGAAGGGATGGGATGAGGGGCAGTCCTTCCTTTAGACGCTGGTTTGCAACTTTTCTCATACTCTACCTTCCCAAGAGCCAAGGAAGCCAGGGTGAAACTGCAGTGCCTGATGCTAGAAGAGAAATCATACACTGAAGAAGGCAGGAAGGCATTTCTTGCTTCAGCCCTCCCCCAACTCCAAGCAACACAGGGGGGAGGAAGACACCTGCCCTGTAGGAGGGAATAAATTAAGGCCAAGCCTTAGCTTGAAATCTAGTATTAGCCTCCAGACAGGGCCCCACAGGCTCTACCCCTCATACCACTAAAGGATGCTCTAGACCTTAGCCAGATGGCCCAGTAACTGTCACCAGTCCCTCCCACCCAGACAAATAATGTGGGTCACAGCAGGGAAATAATCACAGAACTTGACAGAGAATCACAGAGCTCAGTATAGGGCCCACCTTACTGACATCATCAACTACAGATTGAACAAACATGAGCTGGGGGGAAAGAATCCTTTTTTTAAAGTATTTATTGAGACAAGATCTCATACTGAGCTTAGGACAGCCTCAAACTGGTGGCAACCCTACTGTCTCTGCCTTTTAAGTGCTGAAATTTCAGGTGTAAGTCACCATGTCTATCACGGGGTGCATCATAGAGTTGAGAGGCCAATCTTACAGGAAAACGGAAACAAACTTGGATGTAGGGAGCCATCTAGTGCTAAACTAGTGGAAATGTCCACAGGCTCAGAGATTACAAGCCGGCTTTCTGGAAGGGCAGCCACAAACAAAGGCTTTCAGTGTGAAAATATAGTCTATAGATAAGAAGGAAAACCATCTCAAAGACAGGCAACTGGAGGAGAAAATATGAGAACTGGAAAAACCAAGAAATGTGAAACAGTATTAAAGAGTAATCATCTAGTCATTACAGTACAAGGGGGTCTTGAGAAGTTTAAGTAACTGAGGACTTCCCAAACCTAGAGGAGGCTATAAGGTGCAGGAAACTCAAGGGATGCCAGCCACTCTCATAAAAGAATAAGATATACAGTAAGCTCTCCAGCACTAAAGCAATGTATATAAAGCCATCCAATTTTGCTTGGGGTAGACTATACCACAGAACATTTACAGGTCAAGAGACTGTGGCATTAGGTAGTCATGGTATCCAAGGAAACTGGTAGCCAAGAAACTACACCCAGAAAAGCTTTCTTAAAAACAAAACAAAACAAAACGGGGAGGGGGGAGGGTTGGAGAGATGGCTCAGTGGTTAAGAGCACTGACTGCTCTTCCAGAGGTCCTGAGTTCAATTCCTAGCAACCACATGGTGGCTCACAACCACCTGTAATAGGATCTGATATCCTCTTGTGGTGTGTCTAAAGACAGCTACAATGTACTCATAATAAATAAAATCTTAAAAAACAAACAAATTAAACAAAACAAGTAAAGACAAAGCTGGGGCAATTTCTCTCACCAGGCCTGTCCTACAAGAAATGCTACAAATTCTTCAGATGGAAAGAGATGCTGTGGCTGGATGATGGTGCACGCCTTTAATCCCAGCACTCAGGAGGCAGTGGCAGGTGGATCTCTGAGTTTTGAGGCCATCCTAGTCTATGGAGTGAGTTCTAGGACAGCCAGAGCTACAAAGAGAAACCCTGTCTCAGGAGAGAGGTGGGGGGAGAGGAAGTTGGGGGGGGGGAGGGAGAGAGGGGGAAGAGATGCTAGTGAGGAGAAAACAACACACACATAACCCAGAAGGAGTAAAACTCATAACAGCACACACATAACCCAGAAGGAGTAAAACTCATGAGTAATATTAGAATTCTCTAATGAAAACATGACACATTAACTATTTGCGTCTTTAGTAATAGCCTAAATAAGGTAAGTAAAAGCAACAGTAACTACATAACAATAATTATGTTGGCAAAAAGACAATGCAGAAAGGTGTGAAGTGAGTCGGCAAGGTAGCTCAGCAGGACATGGCTCTTGCTGCCCAAAGTGACAACCTGAATTTGATCCCAAGGACACATGGTAGAAGGAGGGAACCTATTGTCCTCTGGCCTCCACATGTGGCCTCCACATGTGGACTGTTATATGCACGAACCTACATATAGAGACCCCTCACACAAATAAATGTAAATTCTTTTTTTTTTTTCCCCGAGACAGGGTTTCTCTGTGTAGCCCTGGCTGTCCTGGAACTCACTCTGTAGACCAGGCTGGCCTCGAACTCAGAAATCCGCCTGTCTCTGCCTCCCGAGTGCTGGGATTAAAGGCATGCGCCACCACCGCCCGGCTGTTTTTTTTTTTTTTTAATAAATGTAAATTCTTACAAAGTAAAATGAAGGCTAAAACCAGGTGTAGTAGCATGTAGTGTTAATCCCAGCACCTGAGAGGCAGAGGCAGACGGATCTCTAGGAGTTCAATGTCAGCCAATCTACAGAATGAGTTTCAGGATAGCCAGAGCTATGTAATAGTGAGGCCCTGTAATGAATAAACAACACAAAACAAAATCAACAAAATCCCCAAAGGCTACAAAGGTGTGTTCCTTTGATCCCAGCACTTGGAAAGCAGAGGCTGGTGGATGCCTGTGAGTTGTAGGCCAACCCGGTCTATATAGAGAGACCCTGTCTCAAAAAATATATATATAACATGAGACATCACAAATTCACAATGGGCCTGGGTGTGGCTGAGTTGGTAATGTCTTTCTGAGCATGAGAAAGACCATGGGTTCAGTGCCCAGTACCACACGAGGTAGGCATGACAGCACGTGTCTATAATCTCAGCTCTCTAGAGGTAGTGGAAGAAGGGTCTTAGGTTCAGTGTCATCTTTGGTTGTAGAGCCAGTTTGAGGCCAGCTTAGACTGCAAGAGACCCTGCAAATGTAGAGGGTTTTAAAATTTTTTAACCTATGTGTATGAATGTTATGCCTACATTTATATATATATATGTGCATATGTATATATGCTGCCTATACTATATATTATATATACATAAATACATATATGTATAAGAAAGTTGTTTATAAGATGGTATTTTGTAATCATAACTCAACATTGATCACAAAGAATGAAAATAAAGTATGACATAATATATGTGTGAATTATATATATACACACGTATGTATATAATTTATGTAAGGCATTCATATATGTATATATACATATGTGTGTATACATGTATACACATGTATATATACGTGTATGTGTGTGAGTGTGCACCGTATGTGTGTCTGGTCCCTGGAGTTGGAGTTACATCAAGTTGTGAGCTGCCATGGTAGGTGCTGGGACCCAAACCCAGATCCTCTGCAAAAGCAATGAACTGCTCTTTAACTGCTGAGCCATCAGCTTCTAGAGATTTTCCAAAACTAGTAATTTCAAGTTTTATTTTCATTCTTTGTGACCAGTGTTAAATTGTTATGATTACAAAATAAAACCACCTCATAAGTAGATTTTCTTGGTGAGTCTTGGTAATCCACAAAGCAGACATCTGCAGTTGACACACCAGAAATAAGAAGGACTGTAAGCACACTGCAGAAAAACCACCCAAGCACAGAGGAGAAATGTAAGAGGAGAACTATAAAGTTGGTATTAAAGCAGCATCAGCCAGGGAGGTCGAGTTGGTTCACACTTTTAATCCTAGCATTCAGGAGGAAGACACAGCTGATCCATGAGTTTGAGGTTAGCCTGGTCTACACAGAAAATCCCAGGCCAGTCAGATATACATAGAGACCCTGTCTCGAAACGTGGAAGGAATGAACCAAAGCAAGACCCCAACTAGCAATAATCAATAAGTGTAATAATGGATTAAATTCTTCCATTAAGGGCTAGTGACTGGTGACAGAAGGTACTTTTTTAGTCTCAATTATATGTGCCTTAAAATAAACTTGGTTTAGCCTCGATCCTATTAAGGAGAAACATACCTGAGGTGTACAAAGTGGAATTAAAAAGTGACATTTTAAATGCAATTTAAGTCAATCTTTTACAACATTTAAATCATCTGAATGACTGAGATAAATCATTTTGACATTAAAAATGTGGCCATTTCAATTTAATGCATCTGCCATCTTACCTGGTTCTCTCTCAGATCTCTCTTCCTCTTCAGACAAAGCTACCCTAAAGTAAAAACCAGAAAGCACATTCAAGGTTCATAGCCCCAGTTTCATATAATTAAAATTTTAATTCAGGAGGTACACAAAATACTTATCTGGTAGATAAATCTATAACAGAGTATTATTTCTATAGATCTGCACAAGCTATAAAAACCATTATTTTTATTTTATTTTTATTGTTGTTGGTTTTGTTTTGTTTTGAAGACAGGGTTTCTCTGTGCTGGCTGTTCTGGAATTCACTCTGTAGATCAGGTTGGCCTTGAATTCAGAAGAGATCTATACCTGCCTCTGCCTCTGAGTGCTGGAACTAAAGGCATGCAACTCCACCGCTCAGGACCTTATTCTTGGTTTTGACTACTTATTTCTGTAAACACTAACTCAGAGACTGTGTAGGAGTATAGGCACTGGGCCAAATACAAGGTTGAATATTCCTAATTTGGAAATCTGAAATTCAGAGCTTTGTCATAAATAAGAACTTCTTTATCATAATAAGACTTGTTTGTATATATACACTATTTAGAGTAATATCTCCATAGGCCACAAACATAAGACACACAAGACTCACACCAGTTCCTTTCTTCTGTTCCTATGTCTTCCTTTCAGCAAGGACTTCTAAAAGAAAGGGGACACAGTGTAGACGTATATGGAAATGTCTGGAGTCTTTGCTCTCAGCTGTGTAACTAATACTCTTCCTGGCCTTGACTACGGTTTAGAGTATTGCTCAAAGACTTTGGGGCTTTTTAAAAATTTTATTAAAATTATCCTAATCAGTTAAAAATATAGAAGAAAACAGAAACTAATTTCTTGTTTAGTCTTAGATTCATGCCTAAGATATCTATCTCATTTTTTTTTAGCCAAATATACCAAAATTCTTTTTTAAAGTCTAAAAACTGCCGGGCGGTGGTGGTCCACGCCTGTAATCCCAGCACTTGGGAGGCAGAGGCAGGCGGATTTCTGAGTTCAAGGCCAGCCTGGCCAGTGCTGGAATTAAAGGTGTTTGCCACCACCACCTGGCAAGATTTTTAAAATGTTCTTAAAACTTATTTATTTTATGAGTGCACTGTCACTGTCTTCAGACACACCAGAAGAGGGCATCAGATCCCATTACAGATGGTTGTGAGCCACCATGTGGTTGCTGGGAATTGAACTCAGGACCTCTGGAAGAGCAGTCAGTGTTCTCCATCTCTCTAGCTCCCCTCCCCATATATGATATTTTTAAACACCTTAATTTCATTTATGATTTTGATATCAACATAAAACTAAAATAAGATTGGGCTGGAGAGATGGCTCTGTGGTTAAGAGCAACAACTGCTCTTCCAGAGGTCATGAGTTCAATTCCCAGCAACCACATGATGGCTCACAACCATCTGTAAAATGATCCAGTGCCCTCTTCTGGTGTGTCTGAAGAGAGCAATGGTGTACTCATATACATAAAATAAGTAAATAAAAAGATTTTTGGAAAAAAAAACTAAAATAAGTTTAATCTATGCATAAAATTTCATACATACAAACATTTAGTTTGGATTTCCCATAGAGAATATGCTTGGGATCACCATCTACTCAAGAGTCTGTTCCTACTGGGCAGTCAGAGTTGTTGCTGTCTTACAGTTTGGAAGACAGGAGTGAAGCAGCAGAAAAGCAGAGACAGGGAGCAGGCCTGTACGGGCGGGGCCCAGTCTCAGCTGCGTCATTCCAAGATTGATTTCTAACAGTCACTGCACCTGGACTTGCCTGCTCTCCTGCCCCCCCCCCCGCCCTCCTTCCTCCCTGCCCCCCTGCCCTCCTGCCCCCTGTCCTCCTGCCCCGTCCCCCTGCTCTCCTGCCCCCCTGCTCCCCTGCCCCCCTGTCCTCCTGCTCTCCCTTCAAGGCATCCCTACAAAACTCAGTTCCTTACATAATGCACATCCTTCCCCAAGACAGAATCTGGATCATTGCCACAGCTGACTGGTACTTTTGGCATCTCCTTTGCCTACCAAGTAAATAGCAGGGATAGATGTTTGTGTTGTTTGGGAAAATGACATAGAATAAACATTCACTGAGCTGGAGAGGAGAGAGCCAATGACTATTTCCATGTGTGTTATGGGATAGCATTCAGGATTTCCATAGTACCAGAGGTAGCTTTTGCCTACTTACTTATTGAGATTTGTAGTAAGACAGCTGCCCTCTGCTTGTTCTTCTTTGTAGTCTGCAGTGAGATTGCCTGGAGTGTCTTGGAGTCTCTAAGGATACAAAATTTAAAGTTAAGTAAATTTAAAAAAATATTTCTTTTTACAATCAAAAGGAGAATAAAAATTTCAGACGCTATAAAATAGAACGAGTTCTGAGTCGAGAACGAGAGCTGTGGGAATGTGGGAGGGAAGGTGTCCTTTGCACTGAGCCCCATGGACACAGTTCCTCATCCTGGCCACCTGTGGAACCACACATAGACTGTGACATGCCTTAGAGAAAGGTCAGCCACTTGTGATAGGTCCAAAGAAAACAATGCCGCATTCCCTGCCTGCACCAAAATGCTAAAGATGTTCTGTCTAGATTCTTAGTAGAAATTAGGCACAGAATTTGCCTAATACATATACACTATTTATTGAAACATTTCTTATAGAAAAAGAAAACAACTTTAATCAAGGGCAGCTTTGGGGCTGAAAGATGTTATCTCACAAAATGACTTAAAAGATGGGCAAGATGGGCAGGATTAGGCCTTTAATCCTTTTCTGAACACTTTGTGAGTTCAAGGCCAGCCTGGTCTGCACAGTGTTCCAGACCATGCAGGGCCACAATGAGACCCTGTCTCAAAAAGGAAAAGACTTAAAAGGAGACTGGAGAGATAACACAGCAACTAATAATATGTTCTGGCTGGGCGGTGGTGGCTATACAGAGAAACCCTGTCTCAAAAAACCAAAACCAAAACCAAAAAAAAAAAAAAAAAAGAGTATGTTCCCTGTTCTCCAGGGAAGCCAAGTGCAATTGCCAGTACCCATATGAGGCAGCTCACAGCCACCTGTAACTCCACCCCTAGAGAGATCAGACACCTCTGACCTCTGCAGGCACCTGGGGCAAGAGTGCATGCCACACACCTCCTCCTTCAATATTTTTTTAAAAGATGACTTTTAAAATGCAGCAGAGGTAAGAATGGTAAGTTAAAAGGCTCTTAAAGCTAGCCCATCAGAACTGCGGAGATGGCTGTCACAGTGTGACCGTGTTGAAAAAGCCGAGTGCAAAAATGTGACTGGGTGCTGGACAAACATGGAGAGACTGTAATCACAGTGAGCACAGTGAGTGAGCGCCCTATTCATATGGACATGCTATAGAACAAGGACCTCTTAAATTTATCTCTGCAGCTGCGGTGGCACCATGTCAGGGCCATGCTGTGGGACCTGGGCATCATGAACCACATCTGTGTACTTTAAGTTTTTTATTACTAAACTTCACTTTCTAGAAATCTTTTTTTTAAGGATTTATTTTTAATTGTGTGTGCAGTGCCCACAGAGCCCAGAAGAGTGTGCTGTCAGGCCCTAGAGCTGGAGTTATGGGAGCTGTGAGTTGGGAACCAACCTTGGGTCCTCTGCACAAGCTCAGCTCTTACATTCTGAGTCACTGCCTCCAGCCCGCACCTTCCCACTTGCCTGTCAGACTTACCTCAGCCCTCAAGAGGCTTGTGTATTTTAGTGTTCCTGGCAGTTACTGGGACCTAGGCAGGACAGATCCTTAGGAGTCGGGAGTATGTTTCCCAGTGTTTCATGAGTTTGAAACTAAGCCCAGCAAAAGACAGTTTTAATGTTATCACCTAACTGAGGTGATTCATCTAAGCAGGAGGTTTACTCACATGTAAATATAAATATGACATACCTTGAGAGTCATGAAGTCGTACGGATGAAAGCCAGCATAGGCCTCTTGGATTTGAGACATCGTCTGAGCTGTTTTCTCCCAGAACCCAAGCAATGTTCTCTGTAGAAACAGAAAAGGCAACACTACAGTTCTGCCCATCCAAGGCCTGTTTGGGGCTGATTCCTCACTGTTGTGCTGCTCAGGAACTGATCCACTGTCTGAGAACCGGAAACCAGAAAGAACAGTGAACACTGAGTCTGTATGTGCACATGCTTGTCAGTACACAGCACTAGAATGTACCTACAGAATGAATACAGCTTATAATAAGAGAAAGAAAACCAATGGCTCCAAATACCTCAAAATCTAAAGTCCTGGGCTTCAAAGGCCAATAAAAACACCAATCTCTGCAGAAGGGACACATGTAATTTTTATGTTGGCATAGGTAAGTATTGCATGCACATGTTTGCATGGGTGTTTAGTATGTGTGGATGTGTGTCTTTGTGTGCATGTGCATGTCACAGAATGCCTATAGAGATCAGAGAACAACTAGTGGGAATTGGGTCTCTCAAGCCACCACGGGAGTCCCAGGGGTCAAATTCAGGTCATCAGCCTTGGTAACAAGCACCGTCACCTGCTGAAGATCTTTCTGGCCCAGAAGAATCTTTTTTGTTTGTTTGTTTGTTTTTGTTTTGTTTGCTGGGGTTTTTTTTTTTTTTTTTTTTTGAGACAGGGTTTCTCTGTGTAGCCCTGGCTATCCTGGAACTCACTCTATAGACCAGGCTGGCCTCAAACTCAGAAATCCGCCTGCCTCTGCCTCCCAAGTGCTAGGATTAAAGGCATGCGCCAAGAAGAATCTTTTTTTATGCTTTGTTTTACTTTGTGAGGCAGGGTCTTACTATGTAGCCTTGGCTGTCCTGGAACTTGCTATGTACACCAGGATGTCTACAACACACAGAAATCCACCTGCCTCTGCAGTGCCTCGGTTAAAGGTGTGTGCCACTCTGCTTAGCCCATGAGTATTTATTCACTAGAGAAAATACTACTAAATTTGATCTTTTGTTAAGGGCTCAACAAAGACTTGGCCCTGAAAACATGTTATTTAGGGCTTGAGAGATAGCTCAGAGGTTAAGAACACTGACTGCTCTTTCAGAGGTCCTCCCAGTACCCACATGATAGCTCACAACCATCTATAATGGGATCTGATGCTCTCTTCTGGTGTGTCTGACAACAACAGTGTACTCACATGTAAATATAAAATAAAGCTTTTAAAAAGAGTTATTTAGCTAACTGAGGTAATTTGTGATCTTCCTGTTGCTTCAAGATTCCTGTTCCAGGACAAAGGTTGAGACGGGAGAACAGAGGAGCACCGAGCTCACAGCTCTTAGACTCCAGCCTGCCACTGCCTTTACTTTCAAGGACATCTTTCCTTAGGTCTTTCATTGCATAGTGCCAACCTGAATCAGGGACACTGCTTTAAGACAGCAATGAGTAGCCTCTTCCTTTTACTAACTCTTTCCTTGTTCACTGGAAGCCTTCCACTGGCTGTTTATGAAGGCATGTGGAAGGCTGCAGCCACTGCCTTTTAGCTGGCACTAGTGCACTTTTCACATGAGACTTGAGGGAGAATGTGCGGGGGAGACTTAGGAGGTAGCTGTAGCACAGACGGCAACGTGGCAGGATGAGCGGCACGCAGCTCCGAGATCTGGTAAACGTGGGGCTTGAAGCCCAAATTACCATCTACTTAATTGTCATTGGCTTCATTATCTGTAGTCATTGCTTGACACAAAAGTTTTCAAGCTTTTGGAGCATGGTATTCTTTTTGCTTTTTTGTTTACTTTTGGGACAGAGTCTAGTCTTGAACTCTTAATCCTCCTGCCTCTGCAGTCCTAGGGTTACCTGCATAAGCCCCCATACCTGACTGGGCCCAGTATCACTACTTCAAATCAAAGTATGTATAACCAGAATTAACGAGTTTTATCTTACTCACCACTCCCCACCTTTGTTTCTTTTTCTTTGTTACTTTTTGTTTAGGTTTGGTTTTGGTTTTTTTTTTGTTTTTGTTTTTGGATTTTGG